CAGCGGTAGCTAGACAAAAGCTACCGAAAGACGACGGCTGAGCGTGTGTATGCGTGCGCGTGTGACAGCGGTGTGTCGGTGAGGCGCGAGCGAGCGAAAGAGGCAGTCGTTAAGTGGCCACCGAGTCGTTTGTATCTATCATTTTGTTTTTTCTATTTTCCTTATTAAATCTTACAACGTTGACCCGTTGTTGCTCCCTTCTCCCCGTTCACATCCTACATATATATATATATATGTAAGTGTTGAGGCACGAGGCGGGCACTTGGAATATTTTTTTTAATCATCCATAACTCGAAAACTAAGGTGTATCGGACAAATGCCATGTGACATTTTTTACTTGTTTTAGTTTTTAGATTTACCCCTTGAAATATTGGCACGCATTTACGAAACACCCTGTATACGTGAGTCCCTTATTTGAGATCACCTGCCAATTTACACCTAAATATATTGAATCTGCTACTAATTCTCCATAGATTTGGAATGGATGTTGTGAAGGTCAATATTGATTTGAATGAAAAAAAATTCGTTAAAAGATTCTTTAAAGTTGCTAATATCTTTCTGGAAATTTTTGTGTAACTTGTAATGTACAGTGATTCCAAATTTTTGGCCGGTAGTGTATGTAATAGGACTCGTATAACTCCTGGAGGAAAAGAAATGGGGAAACCGACTGACCAAGGATCAAACTCGTGCGGCTCGCGGAGGGGAAGAAGTTCGACACCCTTAATTTAAGCAATGCGCGGTATTATGCCTCCGTCGCCTTCTATTCCATAGTAATTTCCATATTGGTGAAAATTAACCTACAGAAATATACCGCAAAAGTTTTTAAATACACCGCGATAGAAGTGGCAATTCCGAATTGACATCGAACGGGTCTGAGCGAGGCTCGAGCTCTTATCTCTCTCGAATTGCTGTTTTGGCACTCGGACTAATTTTGTGACCTCGCTATATCAGCTCCACTGACTATAATGGAGAATATCGTGTGAAAGAATGGTGCGTGGCCATCCAAGGATTTGGATAGACGTGACTGAATGTCTTCGAGGAATTTCTTAATTTCTTAATTTGAACTTCGTTAAACAAAAATACAGTGAAAATATCACTGCGTTTAATCAAGTGTCGCGGACTGTAGAATGAGAGGAAAATAGTAAAAGGGAGAAAGAGAATGTGCGAGTGCAAGAATAAAAGAGTCTGAAAGATGAAAAGTCGGTGTAGTAGGACACTGTGGAGAACAAAGTAGAAACAAAGAATCACAACGTAGTTAATGAGAGTCAGTATGGTTTTGAGAGAAAATAACATAGTCTTGCGTGGAATTGCGTCAAGTTTAACTGTGCAGTTATGTTAAAATGCACCTGTCCAGTCACAAACCACGAAACCCTACAATTATGTATAATTATTTCCTCTTTTTCCTCAACATTCAATTTCCAGCAAATTTAAATATACCAACTCCATTAAACGATTCCAGAAAAATTCGGCTGAAAACACCATCTATCTGATTACATATGTGCATGCAATTCTTCCCTCCTTTTTATCTGGTTTTCACAACTAGAGACTCGAGAGAGCCCCTAAAGTGTCTGCTAACGAGTTTTCCGCTACTCTGTACGAGTACTTGTTCCATGAAAAACTCACGTGGGTTGTTTGTCCAGGCCGCGAGTGATTCTCAGGCGTTGCTCAGATGCCTCAGGGATGTGCCGTTGAACGCGCTGGTCTCGGTGCCTGTCAAGGGACTGGAATTCGCTCCCGCCTTCGGACCAAGCATAGACGGCGTCGTGATTGATCCAGGCGATCCGGAGGATCAGGACTTCACCTTGCAAGTGGACACGATCAATACGTTGAACAACATCCTGCTAAGGAAGGACGTCGTGGCCAAACTATCGAGGTACATCCGCCACCGAGCAACCTCCGTTTCCGCACTTCCCTTGTTCCCCCGCCAATTGCAATTGTGCAAATGAAATTCTACCTATTCTTTCAGCGACACGAGCTTCGATTCAGAGAAATAGAAAACTACACCTTGTAAAATCGCTAGAAAATATGTTAGTAACAGAGTGTTAGGGTGCTTCTTGAGCTTCCTTAGAGATGAAGGCTGGATTGCACGCTTAGCGACGTCTAGCGTATTATGCAGAGACGAGTAAATTGCTAGCGAGACGGTAGAGAAGCAAAATGGGTATTCAAATGGGTAGTCTCTATCTTTGACGCTCTCGAAGCCGCCACATTAGGGTTTTTGACGGCCCAAGCTGGCATAATAGTAGGATTTCTATATCTGCGGTGGATACAATTTACGCTGTTACTTTATCTCTAATAATTTTCGAGATATTAAACCAGGGGTGGCCAGCTACACTACCTTTGGAAGCCACAATTCAGGAAGGAATATTTGAAAGAGCCATTTATTTATCTTTGACGACAACTTTGATAACTTTGTAACAAGAAATGAAATAAAATAATTACTTTTGGACATTGATCAGTTTTAGTTTACCATATTTCGTACATACATTTTATTTGCATAAGAGCCGCACCACTCGCCTGCGAGAGCCGCGCTATGGCCACCCCTGTATTAGACCAAATATATTTACTACCCCTATCTTTGATAACCGATGTCGTGTCCTCAAAACACGAAAAGTGACGACCCCCCCCCACGTTGAATAGAAGCAAATAGAAGCTCGCGAAAGGGACCTTACTTCGGTGAAGCTGTTGATTGGCCCTTTTCTCGGACTTGCAGCTCCGAAGAAATGTATATAAGCCGTTCAACATAGACGAGTAGATAAAAAGGAGCCTTGTAACCAGAAGCCGAACCACGGCTCCATAATAAAGCTAATACAACTAAACATTTTCATTACAACCTTCGTCCCATTCCGCATAGGGTTGAAAAAAGACCGTGACGCCTTATAACCGAGTAGATAAGAGCACGGTACACAACAACCGATATAAAAAAATACGTGTCGAATATTTTTTTGAGAACTACTCTGTTGCGACCTGATGAGGACGCAACGAAATCTCGGTTCGGCAGATTATAGTAATAAGCCACTTAGTCACATTTGGCCGCCAGACCGAGGTGCCGACGTTCGGAAGACCGCAATATACCCCTAGTGGACTCACCAGCGCGACACTCGGACAATAGGTCCCAAAAACACTCGGGACCATAAAACATTCGTTACCCGGGATCGAATTTGTTTACAACAAATTCGGTCTCCCAAAAGGTCACAGTTTTCGTCGCCCAATAACCGAACACACCACGTTTTCCACCTCCATAACACAACCACCAATCAGAACCAACCTAATCCCTATATACACATCTAAAACGGACAATCACAGTAAAACGAGTGCACGAGACACATCGTCAAAAAAAGAATAACCGAATTTCAACTAAACATCTGTTCGGTTGTAAAAACCTAAATATGGTCAAGGCGAAGGTTTAGGCGACACGGCTCGCAATTTTACAAGGATTTCGGAAACCCTCTCATCTGGCCACCAGAAGCGGCAGCCTGCCGACCGACCGGAGGAACCAGGACTCGACCCTACAATATAACAAATAGTTTACAACAATAACCCCACCTTCTCGACACGACAGTCACCCCCGGAACACTCACGAAAATCCAATCAACACTCTTCAACCACCTCCACTACACATTTAAACAGCAAATAGAAACACACAGCAAGTTGATAAAATAGCACGCACAGACATTTTTCGGGAACAGTAACACAGACACTCAAACATTCATTACCAGTCTAATTTTCGTAACACGTCATACATCATTAAACTAGTTATAATAAAGCTATATCACTGTTCAATATCGTGTTGACACATTCACCAAATCATACAGTCCACTATCCAAGTGACCATTTCGAAAGACTTCACTGGACTTCACTGAAAGGAACCCAGTTCGAAGTCCGCGTCATATTATCGTCGCGGAAATAATCGTCGACGCTGTGACGCGACCAAACAAAGACTAATAAAATTCTAAATTAAAATGTTGCATAGTACAGAAATATTTTTTACTTTATTCAAATGTAATCCTTTAAATATCTCGAAAGAAGTTTGATCAAAGTCCACGACGCAATTTATACCAGAGTTTCATCGAAATCGGTGATCATTACTTCGAAATATTTTTATACCAACACAATCTCCCCCTCGTTAAATCTCAGGTTTCGGAAATGTCGCGTCCACCCTCTTGTGATACAGACTGCAGGCAAAATCATCTAACATAGAGATAGTAATAGGCACGTATTACATTCCTTCTCTTTCTTTAGAAAAAAAGAAAGAACCCTCAAGTAACGCAGCTAATAATATGAAATTGCCAAGTGTCCCCTAATTTTACGAGGAATCTCGTTCTCGCCACCGATCGTCCAATCCTCCCCTTAAATTCACGAACCAGATGAAGTCTCTTGGTTTCCTCGTTTCTCCGACTCATTCCGTGTAATCGCGGATGCGTCCAGGGTAACAGAGTCGCCTCGCGGCCGGGATTGAAACAAAACAGGGGTCTCGTTACGTGGCTAAACGGAGCATACTAACTAACCGTGGAAATCCGCAAGGAAAAAGTGGCGACTTCCTCTTATTCGGCACGTGAACTGTACCCAACGTGCACGACTCGTCTTTCTCAACCCTCCAACTGCTACCCCCCTCCTCCCCTTCCTCGCCCTTCTCGTTCTTGCTCTCGCACGTGCTTCGAGTCCTCCGTTTCTTCTCTTTCTTCCTTTTTCCCCACGTTGCTCGCCGCTCGTTTTATCTTGCGACGTCTCGCTGTCTCGGCGAATCTCTGCCGCTCTTTATCCCCTCCGCCCGCCTCCTTCACCCTTGATCGTTCGCACACCAACGCGTCTCTCACCTCCTTTTGTACTCTGCTTCTCGTGTTTGCTCGTCACTAGCTTGTCTACTATCGCATGCTCTAACCTTTCTTGGACTTTCCCGTGTTACGTACATTTGCCCTCAAAAATATTCGGACAGGGTGCAGGGACACGCTGTGCAGGGTCTTCGTGTTATCACCAGCCAGTGTTTCTCTCGTAAAAATAAGTTTAGAGTAAACATGAAAGAGCAGAAAGTTTGACGATTTTTTTTTATAACCAACCCAATAACACAGGTGTAAACTTTCAATATTCGCAATATTTTTCGAAAAACGAACGTGACCTTTAATTTTTTAAATGGAATGACATACTTTTTTTGTGGTGCAAAAGCGACTGTTGAGATGAATTCAACCATGTGTGACAGAATGACCTACGAAATTATACAGAGTGGTCAGTAACTGGTGGTAGAACCGGAAAGAGGTAATTCTACATCAGAAAATAAATCGAAAATGTAGAATAAAATTTTTTGATATAAGGCTTTGTTTTCGAGAAAATCGACTTTAAAATTTCATGGGGTAGACGTGTAATTGATTATGTCTCGACCTAATGTATACCGAAGGAATTACAAGTTTCGGCCACAATCACAATTTCGCGTTCAATCAATTAAAACAGCAGAACACGTTAGAAAGCGTTCATAGAAATTTAGTTTGTAGAGCACAATTGTATATTCGGCAGAATGGGCAATATTTACAACAATTTCTGTAATAATAATGTAATATCGAGGCCTCCATACTCAAATAGGAAATCGACCAGGGAAAATAAAGAGGGAGTTGTTGGTGTAGTGCGCAAAGCCTCGGCTTGCTAAGCCGAAGGTCCCGGGTTCGATTCCCGTTTGGGAAATTTTTCCGTCGATTCCTACAATAAAATTTATTGTAAATTAATGTTCTGTTTTATTGTGTATTCTTGATTACCCAGTGTAATAAATACAAATCTGAATCGAGACAGTAAGCTACAACGGAATATACATTAGGTCGAGATATAATCAAGTGCTCGTAACCTCGGTGAAAATTCATCAATTTTCTCGAAAACAAAACCTTAGATGAACAAATTTCACTCCACTGTTACGTACCTTTCGTACCTCAGGACCCCCGGTTTCGGTCAGTCCATTCAAGGAGTTTACGTTGGGATAGGGGCGACGACAGTGACTACCACAGGATTTAATTCACACAAGTTTATTGACTATCGGTTTCTGTACAGAGGAATTCCTTGATGCAAGGATATACAACTGAGTGCCCGCGCTGGAAGCGCGTTGGTTTTTTAAACTGCTTGCCTCTTCTGCCCTTGGGGTGGTGGAAATGGGTTAGAGGAGGAAAGATCGAGACAAGGATAGATAGTTTGGGAATTTTCCAGACAGTACAGCGAGCCTACTCAAGTTTAGACAATTTCCCCTTTTTTAGGGCATCGCAGGATGTCGAAGACATGAACCAGACGCGTGACACTCCGACCCACGGGCATCCTCGAGCGTCGGGCTCTCGGTGCCTCGCGTAGTCTCGAATGACGCGCCCGGTTCTTACCTGATTTATTGCACTACCCTTGAGTGGCTTTCCGCTGTAACTGCCCCAAGGAATTTTGGTGAATGCAGAGTGTGCGACCGTTGTAGGTTTTCTATGGTTTCCCCGAAGACCAGAGAGGTTCGCTAGGCTTGGAGGTTACGGACGTAACACCACATTTTCGATTTATCCTCTGATGCAGAACCACCCCATTTCCGGTTGTACCGCCAGTCATCGACCACCCTGTATAAGTTTGGGAATGAAGGTGAGTTGGGTGAGGAACGCCGTTGCACTGTTTTCACCTCAATTCTCGTCAGAAACAGTCGGCGTACAATTTGTCCAGAAAATACAATCGTTCTCTTCGTTAATTTTTCGGTTCGGCGGGTACGTCGCGATGGTTGGTAAAGGAACAAACTGACCGGAGGTGTAGGCGTACTGGGTTTTTATATTGTTAGGACAGGGAGACAGGAGTAGCGATAGATAAAGATAGAAGTGGAGAAAGTGGTGGAAACGGAACGTCTTCGTGCGAACCTGGACGCCACATGTGCGCTTC